ATAACACAATCACTCTTACTTATCTCATAACCCAGCAAATGATTGAACAAAAAATTTTGAAAATAATTTTTTTTTACATTATAAATGTTAGAAAAATCATTATTTTCACATTAGCTATAGTTTTTTTCATCTATAATGACTATTTGGAGGATCACAGGCTAAAATCTTAACATGAATATGTATTTAAGACAGTTTTTGAATCAAAAGAATTTCTGTATTTAGATAACGCATTTATTTAGAGTACGGAAGTACACTGTGTTATGCTGTTATTGTCTTACAGTGAAATAATTATTCCAATGAGAGCTAATAATATTTTATTGCAAAAATTGTAACAGTTGAATAAAATATATGTATTTCTGGTATATTTAGTGCAATGATGATTAATGATATTGCAAGAGAGGCCTTCGTAGATATTGGAGAAATGTTGCAAACCAGAAGGCACCAGGATTTTATTGCCACCTTTGGCAATCGTCAAACTGACACATTGCGGTAAGTACTGTTGACAGTTTACTCAAGTTATGAATGTGCACCGATGTTATAAGATTAATCATGTGGTGAAATTCCCTTTTATTGTGCTAAACTCTATAGTTTCTTGCGAATTGCCAGACATGCTGCAACCTAATTTTAAATCTTTAAAAAAAAAAAAAAGGTAATTTCAATACATTATTAATTTTAAATAAAATTAATTATAAAATGAGATCACATAGTGGAGAACCAATATGTAAGTTCCTTTTAATGATATTTGAAAAGAGTTATATTTATTCTAAAACTTTTTGTGAATTTTAATTATTTATTTTTCTACGAGTGCCAATTCCCTCGTTGCAAACATGTCCAACTTGTGAACATCCGTCGCACAATGAATTCTTTGCAATAACAACTTTTCGCCTTATATATAATCCTGGCACAACTGTTTTTTAACATTCGTTAGCTGATATGGATACAGAATTGGATATTGTTAAATATGTGAAACATTTTTTAGTATCATAATAATTTTATACATTAATACATATTCATTTTGTAAATTAAATATTAAATAATAATTAAAATACATTAGTATTGGATTTATTATTTATTTATATTTTTTTACAACTGTATTTTTTCCTTTCTTTTTTATATATGATAAAAATTATTCTTACTCTGTTTTGTAATAATCAACAACCGGTTTTCAATTTCAAAACTTAAAACCTGAAATCCAGTTTTCGTACCTTTACATTTTTAGTTTGAACTTATACTGAATCGGGAAAAAAAAATCAGGTGCTTTATAAGTCGGCCATAAGAGGAAGTATATATGTCACTTTGTGTTAAGAATGTATTGACCTCTCTGCAGTGCTGGAGTAGATCCTTACATGACCGACCCTGAGCTCAGAAGGAAACTGGACAGCAACAGAAAAGTTGCTAGAAACAATTTGGATGAGGTCAGTTTGTAGTTTAATATGAGATGTGGTGGTAGTCAAATAATATGGATTTACTGGATCATCTTGTATGGATGTTGGTGTTCTCCCACCTTTAATTTATTTTTACCCCTCAGTTTTTATTTTATACCAGACATGTACTGTCATATAATTTAAATTTTACAAATACAGTTCTATATTGTACATTGAAAAGTACAATCCTATAATTTACATTTGAAGTACATTCCTTCAGTTTGCATTGACAAGTACAGTCCTATAATTTACATTTAACAAGAGATTTCCTATAACTTACATTTGACATGTACTGTCTTTTATATATTTGACAAGTTTTACATTTTACATTTTTTTCTCCCTTGTTTTATAGGTCATTGCAAAGTATACACGTCTCCAGAATGAGAGACATTATGATGATGATGATGATAATGATGATGATAATGATGATGATAAGGAGGAGGAAGCAAATGATATTAATGAAGGTGATGGCAAGCACACAGATGACAAAGACAGAACTCACTCACTTCACAAAGGGACGAGAAAAACAATTGAAATGGATGAAAGTAAATAAAATTGTGTTCAATTTTGGCTTATCGGGGCTTCTTAAGCTCTTAATTCTTTTGTACCTTCATGAGAACCTAGCTATTGTTTATGGTATGTTTTTACTTCAAAATTGTTTGTGCTGTACGGGTTTTTAACAAAAGCTGAACAAAGAAACAAAACAGCCCTCTGTTTGCACCTGCTGAAACTCTTGAGCAAGGGTTCTTGTCCTGTTGTCCGTGGACCCGGTGGGGTAGTGAAAAGTTGTCAGGGATTTTGTTGAGATTCTATTTCTTTGGTTATTTTATAAGTATTTCAAAACTTAATTCTAAGGAGGACACTGTGGCCCTCATCTGTCTGGCAAAGAGGTCCAGGGACTAAAACGTTTTTTGAAGAAAGAAAAAAACTTCTCTAGGTGATAACTTCACACATCTGTTTATGATCTGATTAGTGGATTTTTCAGCTTGTGAGTCCAAGACGACACTCAGACTGCTGAGATTTTTAACTCATGTGACAGTCTTTGACTGGAGCTGTGGACATACAGTGGACGCATAAGACAGTCTTTGACTGGATCTGTGTACATACAGTGGACGCATAAGACTGTCTTTACCTAGTCTGGGAAGATGTTATTTAGTTATATATTATTAGCACCCTTTGCACAAGCCAAATATACATACAGGTGATTATGAAATGTTTGTTGACATTGTAAATAATAGGGTCTGAGACAGGTGTTTTAGCTCCAGCACTGTCAAATGATAACTGCATGACATCAAGCAGTGTGGCAAAGCTACAAGGGTATGGTATACCATTGTATACCAGAGCCAGGAGCTTTAACAGAATTTGAAGGATGCTGTTGTGATGCTTTCTCCCCCCCCCCCCCCCCCCCCCCTTTCTCCCCCCCCCCCCCCACTTTTTTTCTTTCCACTGTACATAACTGGGTCATTGAATGCAAGTCAAAACATTGCTGAGTCACTGAATGCAAGTCAAAACATTGCTGGGTCAATGAATGCAAGTCAGAATAATTGGATAGTAGAGTGTCTATCACAGCCTGACTTTATTGCTAGACATTCAAGGACACATTCTAGGATTTCGACTTAACTGTTTTGATGGGTGCCAAACAATTTGACCTGACTGTTTTAAGGGAGGCCAAGCAGTTTAACCTGGGTTTAAATGGAAGGAGACTGCATTGAAGTTTGTTTATCAAGGATATCCCCAAAGTATGATTGAGTTTATCGTGAGGCGTGATCATGAAGACTTTGACTTGGCTGCCTCTCTGTCTTTCAACTTGAGCAATAACTTAGAATTTTTTTAAAAAAATTAAGATTAAAATGTGAGGCTAGTGGCTTTTATATTAGATTTAAATTAATGTGTTGGTTTTTTTTGATTAAAAAAAAATGTAATATTATAATGATTTTTAAAAGTATTTGGCCATTATGCTCTTTGCTCTCGTGTAACTATGATCTTTTTATTCAAAACTGCTGTTTAATTTCATTTTACTCTCGGCGGGTTTCAACGCTTTCTTTCTTTATATTATTACATGCTTATATGATTGATGGTCCCTAATCACAGTCAATGTCTTATTACTACAGGTGTCTCCTTGTACGATTCTGATGGGGACGCCAGTGAGGCCTTGCCTGGTCTCCCAGAAAACTTGACTTCTGTAGCGTCGGGCTCACCAAAGAAAGGGTCACCAAAGAAAGGGTCACCCGAGGGGCGGAGAATTTCGTTGCAAAAGGCTAAACCAAAATACAATCCGCTTGAGCGGCAGCTTTGTGAGAATCCCTACCTGGCAGGAAGTGACGGCGCACGCAAACTCAATTCCCCTCTGCTTGAGGACGCACATATTCATAGCTTTGTTAAAGCCTTGGGTCTCAACCCGTTGGTGCAGAGTGGTGACAGCCCTAACAGAACCTCACAGGGCAATGTTATTGTAATTGATGAGAGTCCAACCCCCACCCGACCAGGCAGAGGATTTATGCTGAAGAATCTGGGGTCATCTTCAGACGCAGATGACCAGTTTGATGATGCCACCAATCATGAGGCCAACCCTGAGCCGAATTCGGGAAATGATAAGATGAAGAAACCAAATATTAAGTTCACTGCCCGCAAAACTTTGCCGCCTGAAAGTAAGCCATTAAAAGTATATGCAGACAATGAAGATGATGATGTTATGATCAGTTATGAAGAAATTGCCAAAGAGAATTTAGAAGACTCTGAGGACCAGTCGAGCGATGCCGGGTCTGAGAACAATGATCCGGTACTGGAGGACGAGGATGACGACATCATGGTCATTGATAGCAGCGAGTCGGAGATTGGGTCAGAGTCCTCTCGCGGCGGTTCACCGGTGAGCATCATATCTCTGGGCAGCAGCCTTGAGGATGAGGAAGAAACGTTTGAAAATGACATCGACTTGGTGAACAAGATGTTTAAAATTAAGAAAGAAGTCATATCCCCCCAGAAGCTGACTTCAGATCCTAAAGATGAACAGGTGGACCTCAAGGAGAAATTGCTGGACCAGTATAAATTGAAGAGCTTTGAAGAGTTTTCAAAATATGGAAACGGCAGGGAATCTATGAAATCGACTCATTGCAAGACAAATGCTCACCTCTCTCAGATTCTAGACTTGGCTAACAGTACAGCTTTCCCTGGGAAACACAATGAAAATGAGCTCCTTAAAAAGCTGAGCAGAAGAAATGGAACAGATTTTTTGGACTTGGCTTCCTGTGAAGTTGTTTCAGCTGCAGAGAAACGCGTGAAAGGAGATTTGAATAGGGACAAGAGCTGCTTGAAGATTAAATCTGGAGAAGTCCAGAGTCCAATAATACCAGATCTGGACAATGACTGTATCATGATCAGGGATGCCAGCGAGGAAACTCTGGGTGAGAAATGTGGACAGACTCATCAAGATTCCATTGTTTCTGATCAGGCTGTGCACGCTTTCCCTCCAGACAATAATTCTAAAACTGAATGTGAAATCAGTAAAGAGAAAGCAGCTGAACAAGAGAGCGTCGATTCCATTTTGATAACGGATTCGGCGACAAGTCAAGAGGGGGGCAAAGAGATCAGGAAAAAATTAAACTGTACCTCGAAAGAACTGGACAACTCTGAGGATGTCATCACAGGGGACACCCAAAGAAGGGCAGACGGTGCCGTTGTTAATTCCACACCGGGTTATGAAGCACTTGAGTGTACAGAGAATTTAGAAGTTGCCATTGAAGTTGATGAGTGCTTCATCGGGGCCAGCGAGATGGGCCTTCCTCTGGCAGCAGAGAATGATACCTACCTCTTACATCAAGATAAAGGCAAGATCTTCCAAGGTCTTTTGAAAAATCAGACAACTTGTCTTGGATCCAAAGCGAAAAAGAAAGTTGATTTTATAAAAAAACAAGAGCCCCCGGGAGTATCAAAAGGACATACTGTTAGATCAAAAGCTTTTGCATCTCCGTGTACGGAAGATGTTTCGGTTATTGTCATTGATGAAAATAGTCAGGACATGTCAATTTACCCGGCAGAAAATCAGCCACAGCTAAAAACGAACATGTTTCCTAATAAATCAAGACAAAACCCCAAAGACACTGAGAAACATTACCAAAACTTTTTGCCCAACACCACTTCCAGTTTTAGAAAGAATAGATATCCAGAGGTCGTGAGTAGGCTGGACCACACAGAGGCGCCCCGGTTAAACAGAGCGTCAGGGTTGAAATCTGATCCCAAATACTCACCTTTGTGCGACAGTAGCAGGGACCAACGAGCCAGTATCAAGTCAAAGGAATCTGGCATCAGCACAAAAGGAAAGGATTCAAATAGAACAGACAAGGGGCCAGTTATAGAAATAGATTGCTCAGATGATGAGGAAGTGCAGTCAGATATGTGTGCTAGCAGTGCTACTGCACTGAGTGATGATGCAGGTGGCTTTATACGTAATGACATACCCAATGTGGAAGTACATACTAAGTCCAAACCAGGTTCTCAGAGTTTATCTGGTAAGGAGCTTGATACGGTACTAACCATTGAAAAAGATTCTGCATCTGCTGTGGAGGAAGTCACTTCTCCAAGCACAGGGGCTGATAAAACAAAAACATCACAGCCATCCCAAGAACTTGTCTGTGTTGAAATACAAGAGGAAGAAAATGGTAACGCACAGAGCGGAGAGGTTTTAATCATTAGCAATGTTAGTTCACAGGTGAGGGAGATCCCTTCCGAAGAGAATACTGATGGTGGTCAGACCAGTGTGCAAAGTCATCTGGATGACCCACCAAAAACACCGGACTGTATTCACAATCTGCGTGAATCTGTTCTGCCCAGCATAGATGCGGGCGTGGAAAGTGAAGTAAGCACATCACCAAGTGATTTAACCAGTGGCCGCGGTGAGCAGGATGATCAACAGGGAATCGCGTTAACAATATGTTCTGTGGTGTCGTTGAATGAAGATTTGGTTGTGTCAGAATCAAGCCCCACCGAGAAGACCGATGACATAAATCAGCCTCCTGCTGGCTGCAGCCTTAAAGGAAATGTTGAGGAAGTGAAACTTGTTGGGACCGAGAGCATGAGCAGCACTTCAGTGGAAGGATCCAAAGGACACAGTCTTGCTGATTCTGATGCCTCAAAGCCGAACTCTGTTGGGGATCTGTCTGATACTGACGATGTTGTGCTGGTTGAGGAGACCCCTAAAAGAGATGAGGGAGACAGCAGTGTGGACAAAGAAGAGAACATCAAGATGATAACCTGTTCTAAAGAAAGGGAGGAAATTAGTTTACTAGAAGACACATCTAGTAGTGAAAAGGAGGTTCAAGGGGAGACCATCAGCAGTGTCGAGAGTGACCTCCCTGCTACTAGTGTCCCAGAAGCCCAGGGCAGCTTTCAATGTCTTGAGGCACAGCAACAAGATATCAGTTCAAAGACAGGAGATCAAGGGGACAATTCTTTGAATGAAGCAGAAAACGTTCCAGTCTCAGATGTTTTCACTGTGGGACAGACAAAATCTGACGAAGCAGCCAAAGCAGCTTCGTCTGATACAGAAACCAATGACCAGGATAACGATGAGATTGAAGAGGATGAAGATGCCTTCAAATCAATCTTCAGGATATGTGACAAGATGTTACGAAATGACAAACCAACAGTTGAAGAAAAACAGCTTTCGTCTGAGTCACCCATTTCAGTCCCTGACTCGGTTACAGAAGACGATTCTTGCAAACTTGATCAACATTCTAACAGTTTGTGTAACAATGTTGATACACCACTTGATATCAACTCGGCCGATCACATCTCTGTTGATGAGACGCCAGTGAAGGCGTTGAATGGGAACAAAGGAGAAATAGACCCGGACAAGAGCACATCACAGGAATTGAATGGGACGGAGCGCTCACCAGTTGCTGCTAGCTCAAATCTGACCAAGGAGGGCAGTTTGAAAGATGGTGAAGGTGATGAAAACCCTTGTCATACGAGTCCAGCCGATGGGGTAAGCACAGAGGTTGCTGCAAGTGTGAATGACGACACAGTAAATGAAACCAATGATGGGGAAACTAACAAAGGCGATGGCAGGCAAAAAAGGAAGAGGTCAGCAAGCACAGATGACTATGAGGCTGAAGTTGAAATCATCGAAGAGTTAAGCTCAGCAAAAGGTAAACGGTTGTGTGCGAGATCAAAGGAAGATGATAGGAAATTGGTAGACCAGCTTTTGGAGGACATGGTGCTCCAAACAACTCATTTGAGCCCCAGTGTTTCAAGTGTGGAGTCGGCATCTAAACTAATTTCCTCTAAAACTGATGACAAAACTTTAGCCTCTGGTAGCCCAAAGAGTAGTCAAGAAACTGGGGGAAAATGTGAAAATGTTGAAGATGAGGTCCCAGTGCTCGAGTTAGAGTGCGACATTGTGGATGATGGGTTGTCTCCCTCAACAAGTGCTAGCACTGTTGAAAATTCTCAAATAGAAGTGAGCCCCAGAAACAACTTGTCTGTTGTGATGAGTGGAAACAAGAAAAAAAGGGAACGGGAAAGAGCTGAAATTACAGCCAAACCTGAAGGTGGTCAAGATGAAAACAGCACCAGGGACCAAGCACTCCAACCGGTTCTTAAGAAGCCGAAACCAGGCATCAATTTTATTGATGAAATCATCAGTACCATTTTTAAAGAAATCCCTCCAAAGGCTAAGTCCAGGCAGCAGACTGTCTCACAGACTGATGCTGAAGATGATGTGGTGCTTGTGGAAGCAGAGTTTGAACCAAAGACTGTGGTCAAACAAAAGTCAACTGTGCGCCATACCATTGGAAATACTTCATTTCATCCCATCTCATCTTCAACCCCAAAAAATTTCAGATCTAATCCTTCATACAGAAATTCTCCAGGCCAGCCAATTTCTTCTCGTGTTAGACCCAATATTTCAGGGCTTTCACCATTTCGACCTACTCAGGGCAATAGCAACATTGCTTCCAGATCCATTCCTCAAAGGTCCTCTGCGTTTCCCCCATATATTCCATTGCAATCACATCGATTTAGGTCGCATAACTCTTTGCAGCATGCTCAATCATCACATCACATACTTCCGAGTCTTAAACCAAGAGTTCCCATTCCAACTGTCCAGCCTCAGCCAGCAGTGGTGTTAAATTCACAGTTTCGTCCAAGAAACTCCCCCTCGTTTAGGCCCGTCAGCGGTGAAAGGAGAGTTATTCAGCAGGCTAGACACGTGCGGAACACTTCTGGGGGTTTCCTGCCCCACGGTTCAACCAGAGTTGGGTCTGTCAACCCAAGGTCACAACCAAGTACATCGTTCTCACCGCATTTTCCAGGCAGTGCCCAAAGGAGAAAAGTAACAAAGCTCCCACCCCCCAGGAATATTGACGGGGCCCAAATTGTACTTGACGAATCTGACACTGATGATCTGAGTGGTGGTGGGCGGGTGGAAATGGCCCCCTCGGTTCCCAGAATATTATCAGTGACAAGTCTAAAAGCAGATTCAAAGTATGTGCCGAACAAGGAAGATGCAAAGAAGCAGCTTGTTAATTCCAGAGGGCATAAGGATTCCATGAAAAAAAGGACAGGAGATGTTATAGTCCTATCAGACTCTGAATGAGATGTTAAAAGATAGTGTGTTGACAGGGGGATGGGCTGGGGATAGAATGGATTAAATGTGTCCAAGTATGTAATTATTGTGCTTATATTCGCCATTCGTCATGGGAAGAGTTTATGAAGAGAAATGCGATTGCAACATTGTGAAGTCAAGAGGCATCTACTTGGCCATCTTATTGTAATTAGCTAAACATGTTCATGGTGGTGAGAATGGCTTCCTAAAAGGGTTGGATGAGTAAGATTGTGGTAATATCTTTTGATCATGGAAGTAAAAGAGTAACATTGTGAAAGTAAAAGATATAAATTAATTTAATATTTCACTAAAAAAATTAACACTTTTGAGATTACATTAACATGTTTAATTAAGGCAGTTCAAAAGAAAATGCAAATTTGTTCCCATCTGTACTCATAAGATCTCACTATATTATTTGTGCTGGACTAAAGGAATCTATGTTCACTGTATCAATGCTTGAAAGTTTAGCTGTTTATATGTTGGTGAAATATATTCAAACTAAATGGAATTTACTTGAAGTAAATAGAAAAATCAATTGCACATTACCAGTACAAATAAGACAAATTAACTCGGGAGGGAATTTTTCTTCTTATGTTATGGTGCATCCATATATTCCTCATGTCCCTTAGTCCTTGGACCGTTGGGGCACCACAGATGACATGTGAACCATCCTCCTCCATTCCTCTCTGTCTTCAGCACTACGCACTGCATCGCCCAGTGTTAGTCCTGTCCACTCTTTGATGATATCCTCCCACCTTTTTCTTTGTCTTCCTCTTCTTCTCCCTCCTCTTGTGGTGCCCTGCAATATTTCTTTGGCAAGCCCTTGTTTCCTTGTTACCTGGCCATACCATTGTAATTTGCGTTTTTTCACAGTCACCAGTAGATCATCGTACTGCCCATTGGCCTGACAAACCCTTTCTTTCACTGTATCATATATTAGGTACGGAAAAAGGTCAAATTTTCATACCCCCTTCCAACTGTTGTATATTTATATTGTACATTTTAGACACCCTTGCCTAAACACATGATACCCCCACTCACTTACAAAATGAGAAATGACACCCCAAGCGTCCATTTCAGTTTATTTACAGGCACTTACGACATACTCTGCTTACAGTCACCATTTAACTGTGTTAAAAATTATCTCACTTTTTCTTTGGTGGCTGTTCGGCAAAAGGTTTACAATATTTGGTTCAACCGAACAAAATAATTATTTCACAAATTGCGTAGCGAGCATGGAAATATACAGACGAAAATCATGGACTAGACTTATTTATGACTGTTGGGATATCTTTCTTTCTATAACTAAGAAACTTTATAACATTTAAACATAATTGAAAATAAACAATTTCATAGATTTTTTGGTGAAAACCTTAACTTAAATAGAGAAGTGAATTAGCTATTTCAGAATTTTAGGATAATTATTACAGTGTTGGATCAAAAATGAATGTACATATTCACCTTATTAACCTTTCCCCCCCCCCCCAACAATGTGTGTGTGTAATAAATGGATGACCATAATAAATTAACCTTTCTTCAAGTTTCTTTTTTCTTTCTTTTTTTAAAAAAAATATAAAAGTGCTTTCTATTCTTCTGCAGTTACTACTAATATACATACCAGTATATAAATATAAATGTGGGTGTGAAAGTGATAATTCAATTTTCATATAAGATGTGTACAAAGATATAAAAACTAATTTTTTAAAAGTGACTGATATTTTGTGGGTTTTTTTTTTTTTAAAGTGCTACTTAAGTTAAATGCAACCACCTATTTTGAAATGTACCACAGCTTCATATTAATATACATTGCTAAGCCCTCTGTAGCATTTTAATATGAGGACATTTTTTTTTATTACATAGGAGCTCTAAGTTAAAAAGCATAATTTGTAGCTATTTTAAGCTGGAAACATGCCATCACACATATGTTTGTTTTAAGATGTGTAAACAATATGAATATCACATCAGGTTGATAAAGGTATGGCCAGCTCATGGACTGCATGCGCACCCGCCCATGCAGTCCATCCTCCGTCAGAGGAGAGAGATGTGTCATAAATTAACATCTTCCTTCTTCATTCAATTTACATAGTGATTGATTTACAAGATTTGCGTGAGAGACTATAAACAACACAGTAGCTTGGATAGACTGACAAGATTTGCGTGAGAGACTATAAACAACACAGTAGCTTGGATAGATTGACAAGATTTGCGTGGGAGACTATAAACAACACAGTAGCTTGGATGACTGACAAAATTTGCGTGAGAGACTATAAACAACACAGTAGCTTGGATGACTGACAAGATTTGCGTGGAAGACTATAAACAACACAGTAGTTTGGATAGATTGACAAGATTTGCGTGAGAGACTGTAAACAACACAGTAGCGTGGTTTCTTGTTGGCTATTTTTTGTGTTTCCTTGTGTGCAATAACAAATAAATGAATAAGTATTTATTAAAATGATTAGTTTATTTACTGGGTGAAATTCGTAATGCCAGGCAGCTCTTGGAATTTCAACTCGCTATCAAAATTGGCCGTGTAGTCTTTTGGTTTGGCTAGTCACCCCTGACAAAGAAGGTCATTGTATGGGGAAATTTAAATTATTTGGATTGATTTTTTTTAATGAATGCAATTTTGTGTTATATATTTGATAAATTGTATGTTAAAACTGTTATTTCTCAGAAGCTATGTAGGTTAAGCTCCTGTCGGTCAAGAGTAGTGCCTATATATGCACGAGTTAAAAAATATGGAATACAGAAACTGCACAGACAGGTTTGCTTGACCAGTGCACATTTTTATATTTTTCCCCCCTCCTAAAAATAGCTAAATGATAAAGTGTATTATTATTAAACTCGGTGTGCCTAGCTAAAAAAAAAGATGGAGCAATATTTTTAGTGAACTCCTCCAGTAAAAATGGACATACCACCCAACACACTGTTGAAAGTCCACTGCATCCCATGACCACATGGATTACTTTAATCTTGTTTTCAGAGCAAATTGTGCACAATGAATAAATGTACAATTTTGACATTGTATATGTCTTCGGTACGCGAAAAATGTTAAATTGACAATGTGGTACACTGTTGTGTGGCATTTTAAATTGACAATGTGGTACACTGAAGTGTGGCACCTTTCATAAAATCCTGAACTACTGACTTCATTATAGAAATAAAAATGTTTGAAATTTTTTTTAGAAGTACTCATCCAAACAATGAATTATCTACCCATTTTACTTCATTAATGTTTTTATTTTTTAACGTGTTTTGCCTATTTTACATTAAAACTCGTATTTATTTGAAGTATGTTTAGAGACATGACAAACAGAGCAACATTGACTCTTTTTGATGGTGGTGTGAACTAATTACATAAGAAACCTTACAAAGCTTATCCAAGGACTTGAGACAACCTCAGTGCTAGCTCCCAATTTTGAAATAATTGGTTCTAGTTCCTCTACTTGATGATGCATGTAAAGACTTTTTTGAAACAACACATTAGGGCATCATCGAATTGTAATGTGATCATTATTTCAGCACTAGAAATAACCAGCGAAACAATGGCCACTGCAATGTGTGAACTTCCCAGCTACTAAAAGTTACTTGATTAAACATACATTCCCAAAACCCACTAGAGGAATCCGGATGAGTGCCAACTTCTTGGAATTTTATTATGCGCGCCTATTGAACACAGCATTACAGCCATACACCTTTAAGCCAGATAATTATTATTTTTGATCCTTTGATAATCTGTCCAATACTGGTATGCCAAAAAAAAGGATTAAATCATGTTATTTGATCAACTCTCCCTAAATTTGTAGTCTGAACTATGGATGAATGTTTTTAATGCATCTGTTAAGGAGAATGAACCTAGACATTTTTGTATTGAACATTTTCCAGACGGCTTTGCTGTTGGTACTTAGCTCCTGCATGGTTTCAGATCGGTCAGCTATTTTATTTGTTGGTTTTTGTTTTCAATCTCAAACTTACAAGAAAGTTTAATTTTGAAAGCAGCATTACAAGACTGGTGTTTGTAAATATATTTATTATCATTATATATATTGTCCATCAAAGAATATACTAAATGGGGAATATCATGTCAATTCTTAAAACTTCAATATTTGTATGTGTTTTTCTTAAAATTTGTAATTTAAAAGTCTCTTTATTTTTACATTTTTTGAATTGCATCTCTTCATTACACTTTGAATTGGATAAATTTTAAATAAATTATGTGTTGAGTGTGTTGCAGCAAATGTATTTTTATTTGCTGCTCAGCCCAGGGTGAATTCTTTCCCTCAAAGTTAGGACCCAAAGATAGAAAAATTCATTTGTTCCCCATCTACAGAATTAACCAGCGTGCTCCCTGGGCTGTCACAAAATCTAAATAATAACTCTTAAAGTCAATATTGTCACTAATTGAGTGAAGTTCCATGGCATATGATGTTGATTTTTGTGCTTGAGAAA